ATACGACAGAAACCATGTTATGATCTTTTTCATTGCATCATATCAGGGCCTTCATGATGTCAATAAGTCTTACGACTGGTGATGTTAACCGTGGTCACTTAGCTACACTGTGTCTTGGTTAAGCTGGTTTTTCTCCACCATAAAGTTCCTATGTTTCTCTTTGTAATTAATAAATTTATAATTTTGTAAATTTGCATTTAAATTTTATTCTATTTATTCAAATATCTTCGAGTCTGAATGTTTGTGTCCTCCCAAATCATATGTTGAAACCCTAATCCCCAAGGTGATAGTATTAGGAGATGGGGGACTTTACGAGATGATGAAGTCATGAGAGTAGAGCCCTCATGAATGAGATTAGTGCCCTTGTAAAAGAGACCCCAGAGAGATCCCTCACCCCTTCTGCCCTGTGAGGACACAGTGAAAAGGTGGCTGTCCCTGAACCAAGAATCAGGCCCTCACCAGACACTGAATCTGCTGGTGCCTTGATCTTGGACTTTCCAGCCTCCACAACTGTGAGAAATAAATTTCCATTGTTTATAAACCACTCAGTCAATGGTATTTTGTTATAGCAACCCTAACAGGCTAAGATGCTGCATCTATAATAAAAACCACAAGTTCATACTGATACCTCTGATTTCAGTTCAACACCACAAGGTTCATTTTAGCCTTCCCCCTTTTCTTATTGGTAACTTATATCTTTAACAGGGACAAATGTTGCTCTTATTATCTACAATGTATTTACTTATACGTTCAATCTAGTCTTCTAAGTGTTAGGAGCTTCCCTAGTCACAGCACTTCTGACACCAAATGTGTGGGTTTTTTCCCTCACACCAAGCAATTCTGACGCTAATTACCCATAGTTAGCACAGGACCCCAAAGGTTAAGGGCTTATTTCCATGACACTGCCTCCACTTCAGACCCTAATTGCAAGTCTGGGACTCCCATATTTCTGGCTGACCAGCTGTAAATTAAGGGTTCCCACGACCTACTCCTCAGGTTCAATAATTAGCTAGAATGGTTCACAAAATTAGGAAAATGTTTACTGGTTTACTATACAGATATAAAGGGCACGGATGAACAGCCAGATGAAGAGGTACAAGAGGTGAGGCCTGGAAGGGCTCCAAGCACAGGAACTTCTGTCCCCATGGAGTTGGGGTATGCCGCCTTCCCGGCATATGGATGTGTTCACCAACCTGGAAGCTCTCTACGCCCCATAGCTTAGGGATTTTTGTGGAAACTTCATCACATAGGCATGATCAAATATTAACTCAATCTCCAGGCCCTCTCCCCTCCTCCGAGGATGAACGTTTCAAGCTTCTAATCATGGCTTGGTCTTTCTAGCGACCAACCTCCATCCTGGAGCTATCTAAGAGCCCACCAAAAGTTGCCTTATGATAACAAAAGATGTTTCTGTCACCCAGAAAATTTCAAGGGATTTAGGAGCTCTGTGTAAAATAATCCTATAACCTCAACCAACTAAGGAAGGTACAAGAGTTTTAGGAGCTCTTTTTCACGAACTGGGTGCTCATAGTTGTTGCACATTCTTCTCCCACTATATCTACAGGGCATGATTCTCAGACCTAAGAAGTCAGTGGGGAAGTTCCCATCAGCATGAGGTGTCCCATGGCCTCATCACAGGAATGCCAAGGCATCGTGAGGGCTGACTGTCCAGACAATGTTCTGAGAACTCTACACAAAAAATCTCATCACGGATAGGGGCTGCCTTTACCCCATTCTTATGGTTGTGGAGACTGAGGCTGAGCTGTCTGTTGTCCCCAGAGTGCACGCGCCTGCTGAGTCAGGTGGGCCTCATGTTGGCAGTTCTGGAATGTGGGAAGGCCAGATGCCACACTCAGCTGCTGAGCTGGCTCCCCAGGGCTGTGAGCTGTGCCCACAGGACGGGGGGGGGGGGGGGAAGGTTGTCTCGTGAATCACCACCACCTCCCCACATACACACAAGTAGTGAGGTCACCTTAGGATGGAGCTGAGCTGGGGCCTCCCTTATACCTCTGGCAGTTTTGTCATGGCCCTGGAGATGTGCCCATGGCAGAGAGGTAGGAAACGCCTTGAGGCTGGGCCTCCATATTCTGTGCCAAGTTCACATACAACAAGGCGGTGCAGGAGGTAAACTTCTTCATTTGTTCAGAGAAGGGACTTAACCTGAGACTAGAAGGCAAACAGAAGGTAGTGGCTGATTATTTTTTGAGCACCTACTATGTGCCAGTCATTGAAACCTTAAATGGTAGGAAGTATTATTTAGTCCAGTGGTTCTTGAACTTGAGCAGGCATCAGAATCACCTCAGGGGCTTGTTAAAATACAAACTGCAGGCCCCACCTCCAGGGTTTCGGATTCAGTGGGACTGGGATGGGCCCTGAGGGTTTGCATTTCTAAAAGGTGATGGTGATATTGCTGGCCCAGAGACCACATTTTGAGAATAACTTCCTTTCCCCTCGCTTAATGGTGGTCTTCAAGTTTCTTCTTTACAGACCTCCAGGACAGAAGTCTCATTGCCTATACTGTCAGCCTATTTCGATAGCTCTTATGCTGAAGATATTAATTTTTTGTGTGAGCTTGTGTTGAGATGGAAACTAACTCTTTCGGCTCTCCCATGTTGCCCATTCTTTCTGCCTCTGGACCACATGCTCTCGTCACAAAGGAGCAGCTGGAGAGGAATGGAGACTTGCAATTAGAACAAGGATCTCCCTCACCCCCACAGCCCATTGACCACCAAGGCCTGTCCATTCTACCCTCTAAACCAGAGCTGTCCAGTAGAAATATACTGTGAGCAATATGTACCTACGAAAAAAATTTTAATTTTCCAGTAGCTCTGTTAGGAATAGAAAAAAGAAACAGGTGAAACTAATTTTAATAAATTTTATTTAACCCAGCATGTCCAAAATATTATCTTTTAAACAGGTAATAAATGCAAAAATTCTTAATGAGCTATGGTATATTCTTTTTTTTTTAATACCAAGTCTTGAAAATCCAGTATGTATTTTACATTTACAGCACATCTCAATTCTGACCAGCTACATTTCAAGGGTGCCATAACCACATGTGGTGGCTACTGTTTGGAACAGTGCAGTGACCCTGACCCTAGTCCTCATCTCCCTTGTCATAGCTTGTGCTCACTGGATGCCTGCCCCTCACAGCTTCCCCACCAATCCACAAGATGGCAGGTAAATTATTGTCAAATGCAAATTTGATCGTGTCCCGTCACTCTCAGGATAATGTCCTGCCTCCTTGGTCTGGCTTCTAAGGCTCTGCCTCTCCAGTTTTATCTCCTCCCTTCCTCCAGTCCCCAAGGCTCCCACTCTCCCACTGTACTGAATTAATCACGGAGCCTCAACACAGTAGTGCCTCTTACCTCTAAGTCTCTGCATACACAGTTCCCTCTGCCTAAAATGCCCTTGGAATGCTTCTTGGACTACACTTTCAGGTCACTTATTCATTCAAGAAACTTTATTGAGCAACTACTATGTGACCGACACTCTTCTGGATCCTGGAGCAAAGAACTACATAACAAGGAAATATGCATAACAAGAAAAGATATAGTGTGCCAGATGGTGAACAATAAGGCAGGATAAAAGGGAAAAGTGGTGCTGGAGGTTACTACTTCATACAGAGTGGTCAGGAAAGGCCTCTTGGAGAAGGTGACATTTGAGTAGAGACCTGAAGAAGTGAGGAAAGGAGCCAGGTGGCTGTCTGGGGAAAAGCATTCTAAGTAGAGGGAGCAGCCAGTGCAAAGGCCCTGAGGAGGGACCCCAACTGTATGTTTGGGGCACATTCCAGTGTGGCTGGGGCAGAGTGAAAGGAAGTCGTAGGAATTAAGGTCAGAGAGAGAAAGAGGTGGGTGGCAGATTGTGCAGGGCTGTGTTAAGAACTTGAGTTTTATCTTCAGTGAGGTGGGAGCCCCGGGAGGCTGCTGAGTGGAGGAGGGACATGAGCTGAGCTGGGTTTTAACTGGGTCATCCTAGTTGCTGTGATGACAGTAGATGGTGGGCTGAGGGAAGGAGCAGAGAGACTAGTGATCGTGTTGTCTGGACCAGGGTGGTTGCCATGGAGGTGGAGAGAAGGGGCCAGATTCAAGATATGTTGAAGGTGGGTCACATACAGAGTATGAAAGAGCAAAGAGTCAAGGATTACTCCAAGATTTTGGCCTGAGCTTAGGATCTGAATGACGCCTTTTTCAAGAAACCCTCCTGGGAACACAGCTTCAGAGACCTTGCCCTCATGATGCCTGTTATGGCCTGTCTCCCTCTGGCCTGGGTGCACCACAGGGTGGGGTAGGATTTGCTTACTGTCAGGCTTTGAGAGTATTTGATAAGTGAGTGAGAGGCAGAGGCAGGCTGAGCGGGTGTTACTCCTGGCCTCAGCTGTGAGAAGTCTGTCTCTATCCCTCTGGACTTGCGTTTTACCATCTGCACAAGGCAGTGGATGTTCAAGCCTAATTTACCCAATTTCTTCACCAGGAGAGGGCACCGCCAGTCTGCTCACAGGAGTCCTCCAGCCCCTTGAGCACCCCACCCCACCCCATTCCGGGGCCTCCTCTCCTGCTGTCTGCCCAAATTCACCCAGTAGCATCGAGTTGGCCCACATGGCTGGGCTCTGAGTCAGCCTCACCCATTCAGGTGGAGGGAGGCCTTGGAATACGCCCCGCCTCCTCTCCGCCCAGAGCTTGGCACAGCCAAAGGTGGTGCAACTGACCCCACATCACTTCCCCCTTGAGACAGAGGGTATGGCTGTGGCCCAGAAGATTGGTCTTGGGGTACAGTTGCCCCATCTGCCACTCCTTGGGTGTCATAGGAAAAAGTCAAGTCAGACAGGAAGGCCTGGGGCTGATAGCACTGGCAGGAAGGAACGTAACTGAGATGAATGTGAGCAAGTGGGGCCTAGGGACAAGTCACACCCCGCCCCCTTCCAGTCATGGGGGTGTGGCCAGGCCTCTCCCACAACCGTCTTCCCCTGCCTCGTCTGGCATTCATTGGCAGTCTACACACAGCTCGACTTGCACCTGACAGGCCTTGGGACCACAGGTAATGGGACATGGGGCAGGGTGAGTGAGGGCTTAAACTTTAAGAGAATCGGCTCTTCAACAGGCCTGATGTTTTGTGGTGCCTAGGTGGACCTGGATTTGAATCCCAACTTTTTGTCTTCCCAGCTGGGTGAGCACCTCAGTCTCAATCTCTGGAAAAATCAGGGAAGGATGACAAATATTCACCCCCTTGGGTTGTTTTGAGGCTTCAGCCAGGCTTAGTAGGTGGCCAACTCCCGATTCTGTCACTGACTTGCTGTGGGACCTTCAGAAAACCTCTCGACCTCTCTGAACCTCAGTTTCCCCATTTGCGAAATGAAGGGTCCAACGAGATCTGTGAAGGCTTCTCCCACTCTGAGCTCGGGGGGAGGGGAGTTTTGAAGGGTGAAGATGTGTCCCCTCAAACCTACCAGCCTCTGTGCTTTGAGCAGCAAGTGAAGGCTGACACCCTCCTGTCCCCTTGGAAGCCGCCCTGGGCCCTGAACCAGACCTATTAGATGTGGGAGGACTGGCCAGTTGTCTCCTCTGTTTCAGGCTCAGATGCACCTTTGGGCCAAAAATGTTGAACCGAGAGAGCTGGGCCTTGGGGGGGGAACCCTACTGCTTGTCAGAAGCTCATCCAGGTGGTGTGGCCTGTAGAAAAACCCCCGCCACCCAGTCCAAGCACCACCGTGCCTGCCAACCCCTGGGGCTGTCATCCTAAATCAGGGGAGCCACCTCTGCTCAGAGCTTCCCAGCCGCTCTCCTCAGAGGCGGCCTTCTGGCCTCAAGCCCATTCATTTTTCTTTTAAGGGGGACAAGAAAGATTATATACGGTCATGTGCCTATATTTTATTCTGTTTTGTTTAGAAACTGCCAGAAAAGTTGAGGCAGGGGTGTGTTAGGGGAGTTGTATTGAGTGAAGTGTAGCGTGTCCTGGTTGGGTTCCAAAGTAAGCAGATCTGTAAATAATGAGACTCATTTCTGGCTCTGAAATTCCTAGAATTCGTACTAGTGTAGCCCTCTAAAACACTAGGGTACCTGCACCCCGCAATCCTTGCAAAGACACCATACTGGCTACGTTCCAGGGCCCATGCTGGACATTGCTTTGCCAGAGGCCCTATTTTACTTTCATAACAATCCTTTGTGGGAACTCCTCTTTTTAAAAAATTTTTATTAAATTTATTGGGCACGGTGATATCAGTTAGCAAATTATATGTTTCAAGTGTACATTTCTATAATATGTCATCTATATATTGCATTGTGTGTTCACCACCCGGAGTCAGTTCTCCTTCCAACTGAGAGAGCAGTCACATGCCATAAAATTCACTCTTTTGAAGTGTACCATTCCATGGATCTCGGTATATTCACAGAGTAGTGCAGCCATCATTACTATCTGATTTAGAACATTTTTATCATCCCCAAGTAAACCCTGTACCCTTTAGCAGTCATTTCCCATTTTCCCTTCCCCCTGACAAGCACTAATCTGCTTTCTGTCTCTATGGATTTGCTTATTCTGGACACGTCATATAAATGGAACCATATAATAGGCGATCTTTTCTGACTGGCTTCTTTCACTGAGCATAATGTTTTCAATGTTTACACATGTTATAGCATGTGCCAGCACTTCTTCCTCTTTATGGCTGAATAATATTGTATTGTATGATTATATCACATTTTGTTTATCCATTCATCAGTTGATAAGCACTTGGGTTGTTTCCACCTTTTGGCTATTATGAATAATGCTTCTGTGAACATTCATGTACAAGTCCTTGTGTGGACATAAGTTTTCGATTCTCTTGGGTGTCCTAGGAGTGGGGTTGCTGGATCATATGATAAATCTGTGTTTAACATTTCAAGGAACCGTCAAACTGTTTTCCGAAGTGGCTGCAATGTTTTACAATCCCACCAACTATGTATGAAAGCCCCAATTTTCCACGCTGTCACCGACATTTGTTAATGTCTGCATTTCTTATTTTAGTCATCCTAAGTGGGTGTGATGTAGTATCTCGTTGTGATTTTGATTTGCATTTCCCCAATGACTTGTGATGTTGAGCATCTTTCCATGTATTATTGGCCATTCATGTATCTTCTTCAAAGGAATGTCTATTCAAATCCTTTGGCTCTTTTAAAATCGGGTTGTCATTTTATTGTTGAGCTGTAGGCATGTCCATTTTTCCAAAGGAGAACTCTGAGGCTCCGAGAATGGCTGTTACTTTCCTGAGGTCTTCACAGTCAGTGATGGGTAGAGGTGGAGACTGAATCCAGGTCTGTCTGATGTTCAAGAGCCAGCAAGCTCTTTCTCTGCACTGAATGCCTCCTTTCTGGTTTTTGTTGTTGCCAATTGCAGGTGTGCAGTAGAGAGAGAGAGAGAGAGATACATGGAGGGAGAGAGAGAGAAACTTAGATGAGAGGATGAGAAAGAGGAGACTGAACTGGCTCTGTTCAAATAGCCACCCACCTAGGAGAGTCAGAGCCAGGGAAAACCTTTTAAGAGATTTTTGGTTTCTTCCCATTAATTTTCAAACATTTCGGAGGCCTCAAAAAGGTTTATTGGGGGGCACACACTCCTGCCTAGTTTTTCTTGTTCCCTAAGTCTAGAGCAGTGATTGTAACACTTTTTGACTGTGCAACTCATCTCCAGAAAAATGCTCTAGGCATCCCCAACTTATCCATATTTATAGATTTATTACATACAAGTTATATACTAGTACTGTGATCATTAGCTAATGTCTCAAGGCCCCAGTATACATTCCGAGTGAATTTTCTTACCAGTGATAGTGGATGGATGGAAGTCCACTCTTCAAATCGTTTTCTCATTATTTCAGTAGGCAGCTGTGTGTGTGTGATCCCATTCATTGTTTTCAACATGGAAATGTGGCTCATGAAGAACTTGATCTAGGAGCAGGGGCAGTTCTGTCTCCCATGTTTCCGGCTGCTTGCTTGTACTTTCTAAATTAGAGTTATCTCCATCTGCGGTCCCTTTGCACAGAAACTCTTTGAAGATACTTGTCCACACTATGGGGCTGATTCAGTTAAAGCTGTATTGTTTGACTCTCAGGTCCACCCAACCCAGCACCGTACACCACCATATGTTGCAATAGGCTGAATGTAGAAAAAGGAAAGTGTGGCCACAGCAGACCTGTCTGTACTATTGGACTCCCCACTGACCTCTGGGGTCCCCACTTAGTGGACATGACATTTGTTATCTGACATATGGCCAAGGGTGCACTTCAGAGTTGAACTATATACTATTAACTATTTTTAGTTAAAAGTTAAGTAGACATAGATGAACTAACATTTTCCTCCTGAACTTTAGAGATCATCATTTGAGAGACTAATAGGTCCTGAGCTAAGGACATCTAAGCCAATCCCTGCCATTCCTCACTTGCCACCTCTCATGGTAGGGTGCTCACCCCGAAATAGCTGTCATTTTAAGAAATTGTTTTCCTATATTGAGGTGGCATCTGTCCTGGGGGCTCCCCAAGGTCCTGACCCCTCCCTCTGGGCTCACAGCCCCACCTGTACCCATGTCCTGGAGGAGTCCTGCAGAGACTTGGAGAGTCTGTCCCTGCAGTGCTCATCCCTAGGCTGAGCACCCTGCTCCACCAAGCACTTGTCTTGGGAGTGGTCTCTGTACCCCCCACGTCCTCTGGATTCTCTTGGTTTGTCTAGACCGTATTCTGTTTAGGACCCAGGACTGAACCCAGGATGAGGGATGGTGGGATGTGGGCCACCTTCCTTACTGTAGACTCTGTGCTTCTATTAATATGACCTAAGGCTGTGTTAGCTTTGCTTTGTAGATCTATCACCTTGTTGGCTTATACTACATTTTAACAAACATTGATTGTGTACCAACTATGTGTTAGACACTAAGTTAGATACTTGTGCTAACATTTACTTACCTTTCAGAGCGTCTTTTAACAATCCTAGGTATTTCTGTATGAGCAGCTTCCAAGCTGGGCCCACCCATCCTCTTTTTGCACAAACTTGATTTTGTCCCTTTGCACCATCTCGTTTTAGCCTAGGTGTCACCCTGCACTCCTCAGGGGCAATCCCAGGCCCTGGCTACATCCTTGGGTGTGCTGTGGTCACAAGGTTCACCCAGATCTGTGACAGGTCTGTCTAGCTTGTGGTCAGCTGGCTGGGCAGTATGGGTTGTTACCCACCATCAAACTGCCGGACAGACTTGGGACAAAATGGCAGGGGAGGTGGAAACTGTAGTGTCTTCCTCCTGTCCCTCATGCTTGGACTTCAGCCTCAGCTCTGAGTTCATACTCAAACTCCTTGCTGCGTGGCCTTGGGCAAGTCTCTTTCCCTTTCTCGGGCTCAGTTTTGATCTCCTGGCTGCAACTCTGTGGAATTCTAGCTTGAGGAAGGGGAGGGTCCGCTAAACCTGGGAAACTGGTGTGGGGAGAGGGGGTAAGGTGAGCCTGGAGCACAAAGCAGGAGGATGCTGATGAAGGCGAAGGGGTGTGATCTTCTAAAGCACAAGGTCTTCTTTAGAAGCACAAGATCTTCTAAAGAGACGAGGGAGATGCTGAAGAAGATTTGCCAGCCTAACATTATTTCTCCAAGCTCTTAAATTCAATACTTTCTGACTCCTTTTTATGAAGCAACTTTGTATAAGTCAGGGGCTAGAATATTATAGAGACTAAGAAAACATGATTCCTCCCAGGGAGCTCAGAATCTAAGTCTTTTTTGTTTTTTGTTTTTTGGGGTGTTTTTTTTTGTATTTTTAAAAGATTTTATTGGGGAATTGAGGGAGGGGAACAGACAAGTTGCTGTCCTTTTGTTCTTCAGTCTAGTTATGGAGGACGTCGCTTCACTGGCCCATGTTGGCACCATCACTGCACTCTTCCCGGGTGAGGCAGTTGCTTGCAAGCCATTGGACGGCCACTCAGGGCGGCTCACGGCAGCTCATGCCAGCTGTCGGCTGCTCACCCTGGCTGCCAGCCACTCACAGTAGCTTATGGCAGCCCACTGCAGCCCACTGCAGCCTACGCCGTCACCGGCGACTCA